AGAAATCATCAAAGGTGCTCCTCCGCAGTCGACGTCATGGGCCTCTCCGGGCGAGTGTGGTTCACCCTGCCCGTCGTACCCTGACGACTCAGAAACTACCACAGGAGTGGTAGTTTTGCGACGGCGTTTACTGCGTGGAGCACCCTCGCATTTCATTCTTCCGGCATGCGTTCTCAGACCATGCAACCCCGTGAAGCTTTTCCCACATGTACAGAGCCAGCCCGGACGTTGGGCGAGTATCTCAGTCCGGGGGCTAGCAAAGTCGTCAACAAGGGTATCAGTTTGATTGGGCCCTTCATTCTCTCCCCCTTTCGGAGGGCCCTGGGAGCATATTTCTTTGTGGTTTAACGCAATCGGAGGTATTATACTGTGTTAGGGGTGATCAACCCGGTCCACAGTCGACATCTGTCTCCAGATGTCAGTTTATCCCCCCCGGCGATACCGGGGGGCCAGTCTTTCCATAGGTGTCAAAAGGACTTTCCCGATAGTCACCAGTCTTTCCTGGTAGTCTTGTGGGCTAGCCACGTACAATAAGAATAAAACTCACAGGGAGCAAGTACAGCGGGGATCTACAGTCATCAGTAGAAATTATCCTCTTTCGACACACGTTTTCGGCCCACGATTCCTAAACGTATTCGGAGGTGGGCCCACCTGAGTTCATGAAGCTCAGGGCTGCTTCCCCGCTGCACGGAATTACCGGATGGTGTTACACTTTCGGCCAGAGACAAGACGACTTAGTGGTTTCGAAGGAGGTACTGTGAGATAAGAAGTCGCCGCGACAGCGTAATTAGAACAGTCCGCATGCCTGGACGACCGAGCGACAAGCTTACTTTGGTTTACCGGACACATGTTGGACTTTTATTAGCAGTTGGCAGAGGGACACTGGCAGACAAATCGTACACGATGGACTTTCAAAGGAATGAGAAACTCCTTTCCGCTAGATACCCGGACCAGCTCACCGAGGCCCGTCCCCTACGTTGTTGCGCTGCGCTCGATGATAAAGTTGTCGCAAAAAGTCTAAATATGGCAGTGGATGATAAAGTTGTCGGAGAAAGTCTAAATATGTCACTCGATGATAAAGTTGTTGCAGAAAGTCTAAATATGCCACTGGATGATACAAGTTGTCACAGAAAGTCCAAAGATGTTGTAACAGATCTGAGACGCCACAGAAAGTGCACTGTGTTGGTATTGTCAGAAAAGACAACATCCTCCTGGTCTTGGCTGGACTGGAGTCAACACTCAGAACACAAGGAGTTAACACTAAACTGATGACAGTGTAGTTGAGACAAGACCTTCACGTTGAACATTCGCCCCAGATATCATGAGGTATTAGACTATGTGCTTTACTGGGCAGAAAATCGTCACTTTCAACCAGCATTCTCGAAGAGGGAGCTTTAGGTTATATTTGTGACTAGGTTATGTGCGCCATATAAAATGGCTATTAGCATTGCACGCCACTAAGGGCCATGAAAAGCACTCATGCAGTGTTGATGTGATCAAAGGAAACATACCCAAATACTGTCCCGACCGGGTACAAAGTCGTCTACCGGCGATCCATTGGGCGACCCTGTCGCTGATATATTAAACTAGGGCTGCCTTTTTGTGTGGATAAAGATGTTCCCCTCAGAAAATGTAGTGTGTAGGATTAACATCTTAAGGATGAGAATCAAACAGGTACAAACTACGGATACCCCGTCCAACAGTAAGTAAACTGTACCCGATTCTAAGTAGAAGAGTGATATAAAACCTCATGCAAATCAAACATATGCATAAACATTTTTGTCAGGATCAGTAATTATACATGTATATTAATGAACACCAAATTCGTGTAAAAACATGAAACATAAAACCATAACGTTATAAAGTTTTTATATCAGTGTTTTCATTACTTTTGTTTCTGTTATTACTGCTGTTCTTATAATGAATCTGTTGCTGTTGTTTGCAATGTTGTTGTTGGTTCTGTTTGAGGTATTGTTGGTTTTTGTTGCTGCTATTGTAGGTCTAGGTGTTTTTTGTGTGTTTTTTCACTGCTGTTGTTTTTCTAGTTGTTTTTGTTGTTGTTGGTGATAGTAATGTCATTACAATTTTTAGTCAACAGTGGTGATGCTGCTGTAGTTGTTAGTACTGTCATTATCGATGTTGCTTGTGTCAGTAATGTATGTACTGTTGCTAGCATCAGTAGTGTCTGTACTGTTGCTAGTATCCTTACTGTATGTACTGTTGCTAGAATTTTGTTCCTTCGTTGTTGTTGGTGTAGTGGCGATGATGAGAAGGAACCTTCATCGATGAGAGTTATCCACAACTACACAAGTTTGTCTACCGATGGCTGGTGAGGGATTTGAGCACATCTCACTGGACTAGCAACAAACTTCCTGCCAACAACCACTGGAAATCTCCACACTCTGACACAAAATGTGGGTACTGACTGTCAAACATGATCTTCATCATTTGTTGCCATCTTAAAATAGCAATTCACATTTAGACATACGAACTAAGCAAAATGTCATGCACATAAATATATGTTCTCTCTCTCTCTCTCTCTCTCTCTCTTTCTCTCTCTCTCTCTCTCTCTCTCTCTCTCTCTCTATTTCTCTCTCTCTCTCTCTAACCCTTTTGTTTCTCCTTCTTCTGTTCATTATTTTGTTTCGTCATCATCATCATCTTGTTCTCCTCCTCCCTCTTCTTCCTTTTTCTTCTTCTTCTTCTTCTTCTTCTTCTTCTTCTTCTTCTTCTTCTTCTTCTTCTTCTTCTTCTTCTTCTTCTTCTTCTTCTTCTTCTGCTTCCTGTGTTCATGATATCTCAGGGAAGCGTTCATAGAAAAACATTTGTGTGTCCTCTTATTATTGCGCTGCAAAAATTGTCCTTCATTTCCCTCTAAGTACGTTCTCGATGTGGCAAGCACAGTGTTTTCCCTACCCATTACACTTTTTGGTTTCAGTCTGGCTGTAAGTGGCGGCAGCTACCAAAACATTCTTGCCAGTGGTCAACACTTGCCATCTGTTGCTTTGTAAAGAGTTGTATCAATGGTATCAGCTCTAGACTACAGATTTCTTTACTTGAAAACACAATTCGATCTCTTTGCTTTTCCATCAGCTCTTTTAAAAAAAATAATTTTCGGCTTTTTCACACAGACACACACAAATTATATAGATGCACATATTCTTTAGTTCTGTAAAACAACAATTGTTTTGGTGTAAAGCCATCATTACAAACAACAGACATGACACGACATTTAAAGAATTCCATGAAACTCATGGTTGAACATTTCCAATCTCAAAAAAAAAACTCAATCAGAGGAAATGTGAATTTGGGCTTACATCAGTGAAACGTGTGTATTTGAAGGTCGTAACATCTCATTACCTCACTAAATCACACGCAGGTGTTTCTTTTACTGATTCTATCAATATAATTTATTTTGAGTACTTTATAAATTGTAAATTTAAAAACATTACAACAATACGTTTAAATAACATAAGGATTGCATCTGAGAGGCAAGGAACCAACAGTTTGCACACAAATGTGTCAGATCTGTCAAACGGATACACGCGCAACACTCAGGTTTTGGAACAGGGCTGCAGTCCAGAAGTGGACGAACAACCAAAACTTTCCCCCAGAGTTTACAGCTGGTGAACGCAAAGAAGAGGAAGAAGAAGAATATCAGTTGAATAGAGCACAAAGAGTGAGAACAAGGGGATCTTGCATGACACACCAGCAAACGCGTAGAGAGCTGTTTAGTACAGAATGGGTTTAGAAACAATTCACAACAAAAGCAGTGACACACTGGCAAGCGAAGCTGGCTAGACAGGTTTCAAGGGAACTGCAAGAAGCAGATATTTCTGCCATAAGCAACTTAATTCGTTAAAATTTAAAAACTAATTTTTTTAGAGGAATCTTCACCTGAATATGTTATTGATGGTACATCAATTAAAATGATAGTTTAAATACTTTATGGTTTCTTTGTTAAATAAATGGCTTTTAAATAGCGAATTAACAGTCAATGGATAAATTTATGTGAATCTCAGATCTCAATGCACTTAAAATGTTTAACATTTTTCTCGCAAAAAAGTCTGGCACTTATCTTGCTGCACCAAGTCTGGCAGTTCTTAACAGGCAATTTACGTAATCTTCCTTGCAAATGATCCCGGCTGTTCTTTGTTTGGAAGAACATGTTAGTTGTTCTTTGTTTGTAATTTACGTGACTTGTTGATATCGTTTCTGGAGTTACACGTACACATCTTGCCCCTAGACACCAGCTCTCCTGTAATTACCAAAACAACCTCAAGCGTTGGAACTGTATTTTTCTTCTTTCTCCGACAGCGCAAAGTCGTCTTGTTCTTGCAGCACAGGGTCTTCCTCGATAATTCGCACCTGAAACACCAAAGGATACATTATGTGTCATTGTTGTTATCATTGTTGTTGTTATTATTGTTATATAAGTGCCTTCTCCGCAATGGAGGTAGGCTGCAATCCGTTTGTGCATCCACAACAGTCTTCAGAAATATTCTTCTGCGAGGACCCAGTCTTTTTTCACCGTGCAATACTCATACTCTCTAAAAAGCACGAAATGATCGTGTATTGATATGAAATTAAACACAGCTGCAAGAGATGATAGACAAAACTGTAACAGATAGTCAACAAAAGGGTCTTAGTTTGAACGGCAGATAAACATAAGTAATTATTACTAAGAAAACTGGGCTGAAAGGCGCAGATATCGCAGCCTAACTTTAAACAACAACAGACCGGGCAAACCGTCTTTTTGAACAGCGAATGCAGAACAAAAGAATTTGAATTTAAGTTTGGAGTTTAGCCACGTCAGCCAGGCCCTGGCCTTCCAGTTGTCGTTATTTTTATTATTTAAAAAATAGTTAACACATTGAATGCAAAATCTGACCCTGAAAAACAAACAAACTAAACCAAACTTAAGAAAAGTTACAAAAAAAAAAAAAAGAAAAAAAAAAAAAAAAAAACATTAATGTAAATTTAACTAAGGTATGATTTACCTTGATCTTCCTAGCCTTGTATTTGTCATCATCATAATCGCTGGACAGCAGACAGGCCTTGGCCTTGGCCAGGCTAGCGTTGACAGCAAACAGATGCTCGTAGAGAAGTCCAGCGATGAGTCCACCCAGGATGGGCCCTAGCCAGTACACCTGGCCAAGAGTGATTAATAAATGCTTTAACAAATGTAACAAACTTCACCGAAAATACAGCCTCGCATAATTGTTCAGGGTGTTGGTGTTTTAATTATAAATGCTCTTGGAAAATGTACAACACTTCACCGAAAAAAAAAAAAAAACCTTTCGTAGGTGACCAGGGTGTTAGTAATTTAAGCCCTAGTTGAGATTATTAACCAGACAGTGGATTTCGTTTCTCCGCTGAAACACAGGACACACGTATTGAATTAGAAATGAACAGTTAAAACTAATCAGTCCCTTTACACATTTCTAGTTCATAGGCATTTAAGTCTAGACTTATATTTTATTTAAACAAACGTTAGTCTCCCCATGGGAAGTAGGTCAAATTCCGTTGATAAAGTGGTTGGACTAGTCTACCGTGGTCGAGGTTATGGGTGTGGCGATCTGTTGTTGGTTTGCATTTACCTTTTTATTCCGAAAGAGAGACTGCCTGTGACATAGGTTGTTGCACTCTCTAGGAGGGTCTTGTGTTAGACCCAGTTTCTAAATATTTTTGTAGTGTTAGAAGCGCTGGCATAGTAAAATATAGAAGACGCGATATCAGCGGCATTGGGGAACACCCCGTCACCTTGTGTAAATGTCGGGTTACTCAATGCCGACCAATTAAAAGTGAGGTTGGCTGAAGGTCGACCAATCAGAAGTCAGCTAGTGTGTACCGGTGTGTAGAATGGGGAGACCAACGTATGATTTACCTAATATCTTTAAAGACCTCAGTGGATAATGTGGTCAAGATTGTCACGTAGCCAGAAAAAGACACCCCTGCTGTTTGGTTCAGTCCATAACCTTTAGCCCACTATGCTAATTGCCCAAGTGTGAATGTGATGTACTCCAGCATTTACACACAGTACATCTTGAATAAGTATGAGTCAGGGCATAGCAAACTGAAGCTTGCTCAACACTAAGTCCACCCCGAATGAGTAATATGGTGAGTATACTCAAGGTAAGTAGAACTGATTTGTGGAGAAGCCATGTTGATCCTTTGTTCAAACCTTCGAACCTTCAACACTGATTTGGTGAGTGAAAGATAGGTATAGATATACATCTTTGAATTTCTGTCCTTTCTGCTAGAATATTCCAGTAATGTTGGATCGCTTGATTTAGTATAAGCATTTTTAAATAAAAAGATGACAGACTCGTAGCTCAGTTGGGGAAATCTAATTGCGCGGCGACCGGGCGACGAACTCATTGTGGTCCGGATTTACGCCTGGGAGTAATCAGAAAAGCCACATTTTTTCCAGATTTAAGGTATCTATCATGGAATCAAGGCTGAAGGGTTGCGATATCTATAGTACGGAGCCAAAGGGTTAACAACTCATGGTTTCAGGATATTTTTTAAAAAAATGGATAGATAACAGTCGATTTGTTTTGTATTGATATTACCAGACTACAGGATGCATTCTGAGTCGCCGTGGCATAGCAGCTAGACGCTCGCCTGCGGATCGGAAAGATCGTGGGTTTGCTCCCTGGTGAAGCATTACTATTTTTCAAAAATGACCTTGGCTCCCAGGTAGACCCAGCCTTGAGTGAAAACCAGGTGCAGTCCTGGGAAGTAAAGGCGGGCGGCGTGATGCTGACCACATCACCCATCTTGTGACGATTGGTCTATAAAATATAGTTCTAGATACCTATACGCTTAAAGGCGTGGAAAAGGGTCTATTATTGTTTTTTGTTTGCATGATGCATAGTTATTCTGAAAGTGACTTTGCTGTTCTCTTGTATTTCAAGGTTTAATTCCAGTTAGTCCTTTTTGTGTTGTTGATATTCAGTCAGATTTCTTTGTACTGTGTTTTGCCTGAGATAGTGATAATATCCAGTCTGGAGGGTTTGAAAGTGGTGAGGAGGCCTAACAAAGTTGTGCCCTTGACATATTTTGGTGCCAATAACTTGAGTTACCTCATCCATGGAGTGGTGTTCGATGGTTGTTAGAGCTGTGGGGGTGGGGGCAGGGGTAGTGCTGGTGCGGGTGGTAGTGGTGAGGGGGGGGGGTGGCAGGGGACATAAGCGTAATTTGCAGTAATAATGATAATAATAATAGTAATAATGCAGGCGATGGCAAATCAGTATAATGTGACATTTAAAATAATATGAAATGAATAAAAATACTTGTAAAGGGAATGCATATACTTGGCAAAAGGGAGATACTTTGCAGTCTTACAACATTTTTTGACATAGCAAGATCCCCCCCCCCCCTTTTTTTTTTTTACCTTTCATCTCCCCTCCCGCGAACATAGGGGGAACAATCCAAAATACTGCTAACACGAACTTCGAGAAAACATCCATATGCTTTAAAGTGTCAAACAAATAACAAAAGCAACAATCTGTATTGTAATGTCCAAAAATTAAAGTAACGTTCGACATTCATTTTGGTGATATCTGCTATTTTTGGGAATAGTCGCTGGATTTGCGGAGTTCGCGCTCTAGGCGACGCTTTTGGAAGGGAAAAAATCATTTCCATAACAGGGACACATGGGAATAAAACAGTCTAAGTTAGTCAATCCTCTATCAGATGAAAATAGAAAGGCACAAAATTGGGAAACTTTGCAGTAGAAGGGACGTAATTAACAAAACAGAGTATAGGTGCAATTACGTCCCTTAGATACGATTTGTAAATTGTTTATCTGAAATACCGGTAGGATGTTAACCACATCACGCAATCGCCCACCGAGTGCCAGTTGGTTAACAAATATGTGAGTCTACCATCAGATACCCGCTGCTTTACCGGCATAAAAAGGGGTCCTTTGGACTAACTCAACAATACTCAACTAAATAAAAGCTATCTTGTGGTTCGTTCTGAACGAAGGTAGCGATCAGATCTAACTGCAACAGACAGTATAAACGTTATCGATCACTTTTCTTATTGTTACAGTAAACAGAAACAGAATCACTGGACCCACTGGGAGACTCACCCAATGTTTATTGTTACAGTAAACAGAAACAGAATCATTGGACCCGCTGGCAGACTCACCCAATGCTTGTCCCAGTTGCCCATTACAAGAGCCGGTCCGAAACTGCGTGCAGTGTTCATGCTGGAGCCAGTGAAATCAATCTAGGGAGAACAACAATCAGACTGTAATCACATCACACGGCACTGGTTGCCGGGGGGATGCTCGCAGATAATGATGTCTTACAGTGGTGAAACCATTGCATTTGTGGATGGTTAACTATTATCATTAAGATAACGCTACGTGACTGAGAGTTTAGTGAATGCGCTTAACAATTTCATGATCTTCGAGCACTAGGGTTTAAAAAACCTCGTTTTGGTGGTTTTCGGACAATGGTACGAGAGTAGCGCAGAAGAAGAGATTGGCGAATCACCAGGTAAATACGCTTGTATTCATAGAGACAACAGTGGTAGACTGTAGTCAATCTTCATTGTGGAGACGGCACAGCATTCAATTGATCATTAAGAGACATGTCTTACAGAGAGGAAGTATTAAGCAGATATAACAAGACACACAATCTACCCGCCCCCCCCCCTCCACACACACACATAGAGAGAGAGAGAGAGAGAGAGAGGGGGGGGGGGGGGGGGAGAGGGAGAGTTCATGTTGAAAATGTATATCATTTGTAAGCGTTCGCTTGTAAAATGACGGCTGGCACATTATACTGGGGTTGACATTTAGACTCCAATATCTGCATCTTTGGGCCCATCACATTCAGTTTCAGCACACTGTCAGTTAATCGCCTTCAACGAAATGCTTGTTAAGAACTTATTCTTGTTCTCCTAAATAATTAGGCCCTGGAACTCACAGCGAAATAACAGCAATGTTGTTAGAATGTAGCTGTAAAATGTAGCTGTGAAATGTGGCTGTAAAATGTAGCTGTAAAATGTAGCTGTAAAATGTAGCTGTAAAATATAGCTGTAAAAGGTAGCTGTAAAATGTAGTTGTAAAATGTAGCTGTAAAATGTAGCTGTAAAATGTGGCTGTAAAATGTAGCTGTAAAATATAGCTGTAAAAGGTAGCTGTAAAATGTAGTTGTAAGATGTAGCTGTAAAATGTAGCTGTAAAATGTCGCTGTAAAATGTAGCTGTAAAATGTAGCTGTAAAATGTAGCTGTAAACTGTAGCTGTAAAATGTAGCTGTAAAATGTAGCTATTGTTTTGATGTCATTTGTCTTAGGAGCCCGTGCACCTTATGACGAGGTGAAGAAAAAAACGTGTCCACACCATTAGTACAACGAACCTGGCCTGCAACGTATCTGCTTTCTGTCACGATTCGGCTTTATATAATTACTGTAGTGTAGCTATTTCTACTGCTCTAACGTCTAGGATTAGTAACACAAACGGCTCTCAGTTCCTTCATACTGTCAGATTCTTCCACAATGTTCCAACACTTATTCAAACATCCACGAATCATTCACAAGACATTAAAACTACATCTCCTAATACTACAACTGTCTTCCAGGAGTCATGTTAGACGCGTTAGCTATATGATGCTAACTCCATATTTTAAAATCCAGTTGGTGGTATGTCGTGAAATTGTCTGCTAGCTTTTGACTTTTTTCACTCCCTGACAAGATAAAAAGGTAAAGTCGGGAGATGTGAACCAGCGTCATTGCACACGGTTATAAACCATAAGTTCTCTGCCACCAGCATGGACAGATGATAAAAAAACTGTCCGACTGTGTCGCCGTCCGCACGTATCTCCGTAGCTACAGCGACGTTCCTCCATTTACCTCTGATTGTTAACTCTGGTACCCATTTCCTAGAGGCTGGGTGAACCACAGGAACCTTCCTGTTTCGAACACCGGCTATGGGCTGGAGCGAGTCGCAGCTGGATTTGAAAGCGAGTCTCCTACTGTCTTTCACGGTCTCTTTCAATTCCTGACAAGATTAACAAAAACTGATTGTTTCTATTGTGAGTCCTGGACTCTCACTCAGTCACTAACGAAAAAGATTGGAGCTTTTTAATTGAAATGTTATAGATAAATTCTTACAACACTATGCATCAAGAAGAGGATAAACATCGACATTCTGCACGAGTTAAACAATAAGGAGAACTGGCTTGTGAACAGCATCCAGTCACGAAAGTTGAAGTATTTTGGCCACATCAAGCGTCAGGGTGGCTTGGAAAAGACGGTGATGGAGGATGCAGTTTGTCAAAGGCGAGGCAGGGGTCGACCACCGCGAAGATGGATACAGGACATTGAAGATGCATTGGCATTGAAAGCCCATGGGGCCGGAGACCTAGCATGGAAAAGGGATACTTTCAGGCGTGCCGTGTTTGTGGCCAAAGGTTTGTGTGCATTCACAATCAAATATCTTGTGTGTGTTTGCGACCGAAGGTTTGCATCTGTTTAATGATCTCGGTGTATTTGTAATCTAAATTCTATAAATGTTAGTGGCCAAAGGTCTGGGTGTGTTTACAGACAAAGGTCTTATGTGTCTGCGGCCTATAATGTGCATTTAGTCAAAGGTATGGATCTATTAGTAATCTAAAATCTGGATGTTCTTTCATCAAAGTTTTAGATGTGTCAGTGACCATAGCTGTCTTACTAAATAAAGATCTGTGATGTTCTAGTGAACAAAGATCTAGTATTTGATAAGTAAAGTAAAAGTAAAGTACCCTTTTAAACGCTTTTAGGCGTATAAGGCATATAGGGCTAGACCTATATTTTATAGACCAACGGCACAAGATGGGCGATGCGGTCAGCATCACGCCGGCCGCCTCTACTTCCCGGGACTGCACCCGGTACCCACACGGCGACTAGGATGTGATAGCTAAAAATGATCTTGGAGTGTCAGCATTCAAAAGATCTGTTCCATTTTTTTTACGGCGCCATCCGCCCCCACACTTCAATTTGTGAGTCCTCTCTGAGATGTTCTCTGGGGTATTTCGAAGTCCACACATTACTGTTAGTATAAGGTCTGAAAGATATCTAAAAAATTACTACTTGAAATAGTTACTTACCGCCCACAGATGACACATTGTCACAGATAAGCCAATGGACAAAGGGGTGGAGCCATTCAAGTCACGCCTCTTGGAATCGCAGGATGCAAACACGGTGAAGACAAGTATGAAGGTAATGAATAGCTCCACGCCAATCGCTGAAACAAACCAATATCTCAGTGTTAAGTTTAGTATAAAAGACATGAGTGGTAGCAATGCATGTCAACAGATTAAGAATACAAACATAAAACAAGAAGAAAAGCTATACAGCTAAAGATAACTGACTGAAATGTAAGTAGTTTCGGCCAAATGATGCATGTGTAGCTCTACTTTAAGTAATGCCAATGGTTTCTAAACAGGATATGGCATCGTAAAGAACCCCTTCCCACGCTTTTAGGCGTATTGGGTACATACTATCAATCCTATATTTTACAGACTAATCCACAGGTGATGTGGTTAACATCACACCGACCGCCTTTACTTCCCAAGACTTAACCTGGTACCAACTCGAGGCTAGATCGCGCTGAGCGCCAAAGTCATTTTTAGAAATAAGTCCGGCGTCGTCAGGTCCACATGACCTTCCAATCCGCAGGCGAGCCTTTAGCTGCTACACCACAACGGTTGCCTATGGCATCGAAACTGCCTTCTATTTAAATCGACCGTGTTGCAACGTCTCTTCAGTTGCCGGAAGTTTTCCTCAAACAGTATTCTCCCTATGCAGACGTCAATCTCAGCATGGACGACCGACAAATACTACAGCCTCTGTGAAAGTTGTCCGCGATTGAGCTGCCCTCAATTTAAAAAAAAAAAAAAAATTTTTTTTTTTACCAAAACAAAAATAAATACCAAAATAAAAATTATTAAATTAAATACGATTACACACACACACAGACAGATACACATACGCACACACACTCACGCGCGCACATGATAATCTCAACATGCTGACATACATCCTCAGTATTACAATCAACCACGCTTTCACCGCTTTACTATTCTGTACCAGAAATGTGGTAAATGAAAGCAGTTAAGGCAGTTCTTCTTCTTAATCTTCACAGTCACCATCTGTAAACTCCGGCGGAAAGTTCTGGCTGTTCGTCCATTTCTGGACTGCAGTCCTTCTCGAGAACTTGAGTCTTGTATGTGCATCCGTTTGACAGATCTGACTAATTTGTATGCAGACTGAGACTGTTGGGTCCTTGCCTCTCAGACAGATGCACTTGGACTTTGAAGGAAGCTCCCCAAACGTCGACTCTAACGGCATGCTTTTGGGTAGGCAGTGCGTTTTGTTGTTTTCCCCATTAGAGAACCCGGAAACTCACACAAGAAGCAATGGCAGTTCATGGGCCGGGTTGAGCTCAATCTGAAATTAATTTTCAAGAGAAGTAACTCATTTAGAGGAACACAGTTAAGGTAATTGTGTGGTTATTTCCCTTATATTTGAATTTGTCCCCCCCCCCCCCCCCCCATTTTCCTCCTTTTCCCCATCTTCACAACACCCACCACTCTAAGGCAGATCTATAAAACGGATGTGTATTCAAAACATAGAATATGAGGTAACAACACAGAAACAATTACCACACACACACCCATGCACATACGCACCCAAAACAGGATGAGTAGAGTCTATGGAAAAAGCACTTCCTAAATATTTATTAAACATAAAATGCATTGATGGGCACTCACAGAGATAAGCATCCTGTAGCAACTAATGCAGTAATATGAGCCAATCGGGGACGAGGTGCTATCTTACATTTTTTTCCCTTGTAAATGAATAGTGCCCGATGCAGATTTGAGGTCAAAACCCTCGCTTTGGCCAATGGGAAGCAACGCAGCTGATCACATTTTATTTGTTGATAAAGTGAAAGGGAAGTAGCTGAAATCTGTCTGTGCTAACCAACTTACTGTGTCTGCCTAGCAATAATCAGTAAGCATCACAACATATTTTTTTTTTTAACATTTAGTTTGAGAATGGTAAAGAAATCTGGCTAGGTACGCTAACAGACTGCATAGTAAATGTTAGCTCTTTGAAAGTAACTAAGTCAGGGCTATTTAACTGGCGGCCGGTGGGCCATATCTGGCCTGCGGAGGCCAAGAAAGTGGCCTGCGGATCAATGCAAGTTATATTGTACTGATGACCTTTCTGTGCTAGGACTCGGACCTCTGACCCGTGACCATCCTCATTGTTCGAAACGTTGGCACCCAAGTAAACTTAGCTGAATAGCCCTGACTAAGTCTATCTTCTTTGGGTAGTCTCTATATCTCCTTAATGCCCGGCTCTCTAGTTGGCTAAACCGGATTGCGCGGTGACCGGGTGAAGAACTCCTTGTGGTCCGGGTTCACTTCCGGGGGTAGGCAGAAAAGTCACATTTTCTCCCAGATTTACGGTATTTACAATGGAATCAAGGCCGAAAATTGGCGATATCCATGATACGGAGACTCATGGTTAACAACTCATAGCTTCTGGATACTTAAAAAAAAAAAAAAAAAATTCCTTAATAATTTAAAATAAAATCTTCTGCTGCTAAGGGACTAAAGCCATTTTATTTGTTGATAAATTGTAAGGGAAGCAACTTTTGACATGTGATACCTCGTAAATGGATAGAGCGTAGAGTCTAGACGCTCGCCTCGGACTCGAAAGTCGTGGGTTCAGATCAACATCGACTCGGACTTTTGTAAACTGTTTTGGCTTACAAGTCGACCCAGCTTCAAATAGGTACCAGGTAAAGTCCTGCGAAGTAAAAGCGGTCGTCGTCATATTGCTCAAACCAACAGCAAAGTTACAAATAGTCTATAAAGTATAGGTCGAACACTCTATAATCAATACACCTAATCGTTCCCGGAGGAGAAGACTCAGTAAAGAGAATGAGAGCAAAGTGAAGAAAGAAGCGAAGGCTGAAGAGGAAGACGAGAAAGATGAGGGTCAGATCCAAGTAGACATTCTCTTGTGGAGAAATGTTCTTGTTTGTGCAGATGACAGTTCAGACTGCAGTCGTACATTCACCAGTCACCATGGCCACCACCAAACAGACACTTCACTTCATATGTGACCCGACCAGTTTCCCTGACTGATGCCTTGTTGCATCTTTGCAGATTATGGCATAAATTAGGTTTCACTTGTGAATCCTGAAAGGTAACTTATTCCATAATCTGCAAAAGACGCGACAAGGCATACATTTGGTAATCTGACAGGAAGCTAGCTGGTCGTTCCCGGTAACACCTCTCCGATATTGACAAGGAAACACTTAAACCAATCCCTCTCCAATTTAACAGTTCTGACCACAGAGGTAAAGATGATATATCTGTCACAGCTTTAAAGTCTTCACTGGCGACCATACCACGCTTTGGAAAATCGCCTCATCCACAGCCTATGTGTTCTTAGTCCAGGTGGCATCAATATCCAACATACCTTTATCTACGAAGTTTTACTATTATCACATTTCAAATTTGAATTCTTTTCTTGTCTTTTCTTTTATTTCATATTAATACTTTATTCTATTTATCAGTATCATTTATGTATCATTAACATTTGTATTTCTTTTATTCCTACTAATCTATATATAAAAAAATCAATGTTTGTGTGTTTGTTTCACCCCTATAGACTCGGAAACTACTGAACCGATTTAGCTGAAATTTTCAGGATATGTTTGTTGTGATACCGTATTTTGAACTGTCGTGGTTTGAAATTCAAAGTGTCACTGTTAGAGATAGGTGACCACAATTTATGCAATAATATACGCAACTATAATTATAGCCAAGTTAGTAATTGCGCTTGCGCCGCCGTAGTCAGAACGCAAGGCTTCCGCCATTCGCCGGCGAGTTACGTGCAGCCAACGCCTTCTCTAATACATAGAGTAGGTCTAGGTACAGCAAACAAGACTATCTCTATATTTGCCACAATAACCATATTAAACACGATTTCTATTTTCTGTTTTTTTTTTCAAACAACCTTCGATTGGGGGGGGGGGGGGGGGGGGGGATCAAGGACTATCTCGACGTCGGCGCAGACATTGACTGCGACATTAACTTCATTAACCGTGTTAGACACGTGCGATTTCTATTGTTGTGCCGTTTCATTAATATATCTGGAGTATCTGTCTACAAGAAAACAATTGCCTGCGGTTTTGAATTGTGTTTTAATCAGGACACAGAAGTAGGGACACACATCTCTAATTATTAAGTTCTCTTTTCCTTTATCCGATTAAGTGGCTGCTTGGTCGAATGGTTAGAACACTGGGTTCCTGTGCGGGAGACCTGGGTTCGAATCCGCAGTAGTTTATTTTTTTACCCCGGACTAAAATAATATCCTCATCTGCTCTGTCGTGGTGACAGCACTAGCCATGTTGCCTTTAAAAAAAAAAAAAAGACAAGTAAATGGGTAAACCATTTGATAATTAAATTTGACCATTTCGCATACTTATGATTGCATTATTAAACTTTCAGATTGCATGGTTACGCTGAAATTTTTATAGATTTGCATTTATTTTCATTTAGATTTAGTTATTTCATCTGCGTTGGAATTTTAAGCTGTGCTGTTTACCATGGCGTTCATTTCCTAATTATGGTTTTTTTTTTTTTTTTTTGCTGTGTTCATTTGCTTTTCAAGTGGTTTTTTTTTTCTCCCAACTACTTCAATGAGGGAAAGAGTTGTCGGTGAATTGGGGGGGGGGGGGGGGGGGGCAAACTATTTACTGATAGAGCTTTAAGTCACAGTAACTGCTTTACCCACTTAAAGTAGCAGCAATAGTAATAGTTGTGGTTGGGCTGTTACACCATAGTGCTCTCATGTGAAGACCGCCGGTAAGGTTATGGCGTTCTTCTGTCGGCAAGTGAAATTATACATCCTAACCTGACCAGTCTGTGGCAACAGCACTAGCCATGCGGAACCAAATCTTCTGGCTCACGACTCTCTGTCTACTCCGATGGTAACACAGATAGCAGTGAAATTATTTTAGTAGTTGTACTGTTACTTGAAGGATGATGTGGTAAATATTACACTAGCCCCATTCACTACCTATTACAATTCCTGCTCCCCATTTTAGTCCAGATGGACAGGGATGTCAATGTCAGTTACAGCAACAAAAAAATATCGCCAGGTAATGATTTTCAAATATTTCGAAGAGGGAGAAAGCAGTAGTCGGTGGAAGAGGGGAGGGGAGGGGGGGGGGTAATGACATAAATTTGATAAGGGGGAGGGTAGTAGGTGGATTTAGTTGGGGTGGGGGGGGGTGGTGGGGTGGGGATCAAAGACTATATCTATATCTGAGCAGACAATGATTGTATTAGACACGTGCGATTTCTATTTTTTTTCATTTCCATTTAGCCAAACTATGCCACAGCAACGTGTGGCCGGGTACAGCTAGTATATTATATATTACCAATATTACTTTTTATTTTTGGCGACTATATTTCTTTTGTCATCGTTTATTTTATTTCATTCATTCCAGATCACATTTTTTTAAACGTTGCTCACGTCACCCCTCAGAGATCTGAATACTCACCTCTTTGTTACATTTGTGTAGTTCACTTAATGTTTGACAAAAGCTGCCGGCAGAAACGTTGTGTTGTTTTGTGCACGTTTTTCTGATTTCCCATTTTGTTTAGCTTTTTAGTCACATTTCACAGAAATTCGTAGCTTGACTGCAGTCACCCCTAAATTTTCATTTAACTTTATTATGTGTATCTGGATTATTGTGTCCAATAAATTTTTGAAAATTGTTGGGAGTGGAGGTGGGGAGGGGGAGGGGGGGGGAGTGGAGGTGGGGGCGGAGGGGGGAGTGGAGGTGGGATAAGAATGAGGACCAGGATCCTTAATTGGATCAAGAAACAACTTACCTTGTCCGATATTGATCTTCTCGCTAACTTTTGTCATGCCTAGGTTGCCATGGTAGTCAGCTGGCGTCAGACCAAACAAAATGCCGGCTCCCACGACAGCACCAATCAGCTGTGAATACAAAAAGCACAAAGGTCAGGCCACAAGTCAGCGATCTATACCACAGACATATACATAAAGCACAAAGGTCAGGCCACAAGTCAGCGATCTATACCACAGACATATACATAAAGCACAAAGGTCAGGCCACAAGTCAGCGATCTATACCACAGACATATACAAAAAGCACAAAGGTCAGGCCACAAGTCTGCGATCTATACCACAGACACACAGAGACACCGGTTCCACTGCGAAGCTGCTGAAGTGTAGAGGCTAGCCGCTCACCCATGGGTCGGAAGATCTTAGGTTGCATCACCCATGGAGCGGAGTTTTTTATTTTTTTTTATTTGTTCAAACGTGACTTTGGCTGCTAGGTCTACCTAACCGTAAATTGGTACCTGGAAAGTAAAGGCGGCCTTCGTGATGCTGATCACATCAACCATCGAGGTCTATGCACATTGGAGTCTAACCTCATTCGCCGATGTACCATCGACGTGTGAATGGACGTTACTTTAGCTGACTGGTTCATTTACACATCAGGGGAAACAATCCTGATCTGTATATGGAGCTGGTTGTGCTGTAACCTGTGCTCTACATGCACCTTCACTTCCCCATTTTTGATAAATTTCTAGGCAGCATGTATTTGGGATTCGGCATTTGTTGTACCATCTAGACTGTGATTTTGTTATGGCAGGGTGGTCAAATGTTGAGGAAGCAGCCAGGAGAGGACACACTGGTCGATCGGTCGAGCGTCGTTCCCATTCTTAATATTATATACTGCTCTCCCAGGACAGAAGGATACACCGAGGAGTTACTGTGTACCAGGGGGTTACTGTGTACCAGTGAGTTACTGTGCACCAGGGAGTTACTGTGTACCAGGGAGTTACCGTGTACCGGGGGTTACTGTGTACCAGGGGGTTACTGTGTAACAAAAGGTTACTGTGTACTAGGGAGTTACTGTGCACCGGGGGGTTACTGTGTACCATTGGGTTACTGTGTACAAGAAGTTACTGTGTGTCTAGGGGTTACTGTGTACCAGGGGTTACTGTGTACCAGGGAGTTACTGTGTACCAGGGGGTTACTGTGTACCAGGGGTTACTGTGTACCGGGGGTTACTGTGTATAATGGAGTTACTGTGTACCAGTGAGTTACTGTGTACCAGGGGTTAATGTGTACCAGGGAGTTACTGTGTACCAGGGAGTTACTGTGTACCAGGGGGTTACTGTGTACCAGGGAGTTACTGTGTACCAGGGAGTTACTGTGTACCAGGGGGTTACTGTGTACCGGGGGTTTACTGTGTACCAGGAGTTACTGTGTACCAGTGACTTACTGTGTAACAGGGAGTTACCGTGTACCGGGGGGTTACTGTGTACCAGGGAGTTACTGTGTACCAGGGAGTTACTGTGTACCGGGGGATTACTGTGTACCAGGGAGTTACTGTCTACCAGGGAGTTACTGTGTACCAGTGAGTTACCGTGTATCGGGGGCTTACATTCTACCAGGGAGTTACTGTGTACCGGGGGCTTACATTCTACCAGGGAGTTACTGTGTACCAATGTGTTACCGTGTACTGGGGGCTTACATTTTACCAGGGAGTTACTGTGTACCAAGGAGTTACCGTGAACCGGGGGGGGGGGGTTACTGTGTACCACGGAGTTACTGTGTACCAGTGAGTTACTGTGTACCAGGGAGTCACTGTGTACCAGGGAGTTACTGTGTACCGGGGGGTTACTGTGTACCAGGGAGTTACCGTGTACGGAAAGTTACTGTGTACCAGGAAGTTACTGTGTACCAGGGAGTTACTGTGTACTAGTGAGTTACTGTGTACCAGGGAGTTACTGTGTACCAGGGAGTTACCATGTACCGGGGGGTGGGTTACTGTGTACCAGGGAGTTACGGTGTACTGTGAGTTACTGTGTACCAGGGAGTTACTGTATACCAATGAGTTACTGTGTACCAGTGAGATACTGTGTACCAGGGAGTTACTGTGTACCAGGGAGTTACTGTGTACCAGGAAGTTACCGTGTACCAGGAGTTACTGTGTACCAGGGAGTTACTGTGTACCAGGGAGTTACTGTGTACCAGTGAGATACTGTGTACCAGTGAGTTACTGTGTACCAGTGAGTTACTGTGTACCAGGGAGTTACTGTGTACCACGGAGTTACTGTGTACCAGTGAGATACTGTGTACCAGTGAGTTATTGTGTACGTACGTACGTACCTTCCTACCTGCCTGCCTGTCTGCCTGCCGGCCGACCGACCAACCGACCGACCGACCGACCTACCTACCTACCTACCTACCTATGTACCTACCTACATACATACATACCTACCTACATACATACATACATACATACATACATACATACATACATACATACATACATACATACATACATACATACATACATACATACATACATACATACATACATACATGCATACATGCATACATACATACATACATACATACATACATACATACATACATACATACATACATACATACATACATACATACATACATACATACATACATACATACATACATACATACATACATACATGCATATATACATACATACATACATACATACATACATACATACATACCATACATGCATACATACATACATACATACATAACCGGGGGGGGGGGGGTGTTACTGTGTACCAGGGAGTTACTGTGTACCATGGAGTTACCGTGTACCGGGGTTTTACCGTGTACCAGGGAGTTACTGTGTACAAGGGAGTTACTGTGTACCAGTGAGTTAACATGTACCGGGGGGGGGGGATGGTTACTGTGTACCGGGGGGTTACTGTGTACCAGGGAGTTACTGTGTACCAGGGAGTTACTGTTTACCAGTGAGATACTGTGTACCAGTGAGTTACTGTGTACCAGGGAGTTACTGTGTACCAGGAAGTTACCGTGTACCGGGGGGTTACTGTGTACCAGGGAGTTACTGTGTACCAGGGGTTACTGTGTACCAGTGAGATACTGTGTACCAGTGAGTTACTGTTTACTAGGGAGTTACTGTGTACCAGGGAGTTACTGTGTACCAGTGAGTTACTGTTTACTAGGGAGATACTGTGTACCAGTGAGTTACTGTTTACTAGGGAGTTACTGTGTACCAGGGAGTTACTGTGTACCAGTGAGATACTGTGTACCAGTGAGTTATTGTGTACGAACTTACATACATACATACATACTTACATACATACATACATACATACATACATACATACATACATACATACATACATACATACATACATACATACATACATACATACATACATACATACATACATACATACATACATACATACATACATACATACATACATACATACATACATACATACATACATACATACATACATACATACATACATACATACATACATACATACATACATACATACATACATACATACATACATACATACATACATACATACATACATACATACATACATACATACATACATACATACATACATACATACATACATACATACATACATACATACATACATACATACATACATACATACATACATACATACATACATACATACATACATACATACATACATACATACATACATACATACATACATACATACATACATACATACATACATACATACATACATACATACATACATACATACATACATACATACATACATACATGCATACATACATACTTAGAGAGAGAGAGAGGGAAAGAGAGAGAGAGAGAGAGAGAGAGAGTGACAGAACCTATGAAATAACCTAAAGCAATGGAATCAACTCTCTCTGCCTTAACTTGTTATCAACGTTCCCTCAATTGGACATCCTAACTCGCCCAATCTTCACCGTACTTACTGCATGTCACTTGACAACGTCCGCCACACGTTTACCAATTAGTGTCTGAAGCCGCTGACGCGATACAAGTCTAGATAAGCCACATTTAACGCCCATCTGCTATTTCTACGGGTTCCTTCTGATAACTGTGGAGCCGTTGTCGTGTAGTGGCTGGACGCTATAAATTGCTACTGAGGGTTATTATTTCTCAGCACTGCTGTCAGGATCTTTAGGTAAGTTGCACCGCACCAGGACATCACACAAACGATAAACACCTGGTGACACAGAGTACCACCATGCGGATGAGGATCACCCATGGAGAGGTTCCGGAAACCCCGTTCAGCCGTTAGGTCATATATAAGGCCCGGCTTTATTTAGGACACCCGGCAAAAGCCAGGGTGGGGCTTCAAATTAAATAAACAACAGCTTACTAGGAAATGGCGATTAAAAATCATCTTTAATTCTTTAGACCATCGAGACACGTTCATACATCGGGAAACAGAAGATCACATGGTTGAGGCGTGTCGTTATAATGCAGAAACATCAGCTGCTGTGTGGGTTTCGGGGCCCAGTGTGAAAGAGGGAGAGAAGACCCCCTAACGACACTAATCGACACATTAATGTGCAACGAATATGACCTTTCAACAACAACAACAACAACAACAACAAATAATTAAGTATGTCTTAGGGGCTGCGTGGTCTCGAGGCATGGTGTCCGCCTTGAGTACTAGAGGTTCCAGGTTCAATCCTCGGTAAGGGCTGGAATTTTTTCACGTGGACTTAGACTTCTAGTAATTCCCCCTGGTCTCTGGGTAGTGAGAACCGACGCCCGTGTGTATTGTTGCGCACGTAAAAACAAATCCCCACGGCAGTTGGAAATCGAAAAAAAGTAGCCTAACTTCGCTGCCCGGGCACAAATTTGGAGTTAAAAATCTACCCAAAGTATTTCCCGATCCTCGCCGCTGCTACAGAGCCTGTGCACTGTGCTGAGCTTCTTCGGACTCAGACTTGAGTTAGAAGACGAACGGAGCACTCATGGGTTACTACCCGAGTGCCATGGTGTTGATTCGTTGTTCAAACCTCAAACCTCTAACCCTATACTGTTTTTCCTTGTTCGCTTAACACGATCCCTTTAATGCACTGTTTTCTAGAATACATTT